AAAACCCTTAAAAATGCCTATGGGCGAAATGCTACAGTGATGTCCCTGCAATGGCTCTCGTAGAGCCATTGCAGTTTATACTGAAAAGTTCCAACGGCTCTACGTTGCAATTTCCAGTGAATTTTGCGTGAAAAAACAACCGCACCGGACCTACTATGTATGTTGCGGTACATTTATCTACGCCTTCCGAAAAAATCGGACGGCGCCAAACCTATGGGTGAAAATGGGAAACACTGTTCATTTTCGCCTATACGCATTGCACCACTAGAAACTTGAGCTTCTACAATCCAGGAAAATACATTGATAAATCCAAGAAATGAACTTCCAACAAAGAATGCAGCACATCTTGAGTTTCTTACAACTAAAACTAACGCTTGTCTAGAGAAAACTTGCATGGAGCTACCAATTTAAAATATGTGATACAAAAAAATATAAAAAATTTAAAAGTCAAGGAATCCTGGAAACATATTTTCTGAATAGAATATCAAAGGCTCCTCTCAAGTATTTGAAGCATTTAATTCCAAAATCAACATCAAAACACTTTCTTGCAGATAAGTGGGAATATGACAACTCACATGGACGTGTTCTTAAGCTACCATGGCGGCGCTGTGTATGCCTCTTCGTGACAAACAGAAAGATAGTTCCAGAAAATGCAAGTGAAACAGCAACAACTCCTAATACAATCCCAACTAGAGCACCAATGGTTATTCCAGAATTTGAAGATTCATCTGTAGAAGTAAGACCATGCGCTAAAGCACCGGTTTTATGTGATTAAAGAAGATACAATTAAAATATATGAGTATTGAGACGTACCAGTTGCAGTGTCAAAAGGTCCCTTATGGCTGAAATTGAGAACATCATAAGACCCAAATACATTTGGAAGTAAAACTTTCCACCCGGTAAGCAAAGCTTTTATCCTTTGAATTTCACTTGAATTGAAAATATGTTGACTGCAGCACTGGGGAAAGATTTTCAAATGCATCCATAATCGATGACCTTCCTCCCAGGAAATAGAATCAATGTCTAGCTGATAAATCTCAAGATTTAGACCTTGTGTGAAACATTCCTCAAAAGATGACTTATAGGGAAGGAAAGATGAAAACCCTGGACTCCTCAACCGATAGTCAACTCTAATAGGTACTGCACAAAAGCACCAATGTGGTGCATTAGGAACATAATCACAAAAGTTATCTGTAGGGCATGATGACGAGAAATCAATTGGTGTACTGTTAACTCTTTCCTCATTTCCGCGCTCAGGCCCGCAAAACTCAGACATAACAAACTGGCTGGAGGTTGTACAAAGTGGATTACCTTGCAGCCTGAAATGGCAACCATACAGCACTTTGAACTTGAAAACTTTCCAAGTGGAATCAACTCCAGCAATAATATGGAAAATCTTAGTTAGAGCTGGTCTCTGAACGTAAATAAATAAGATATATAGAAGGTTTATGAGCAATATATTCACAACATGAGTAGAAAGAGAGAATATATGGAATACTGAAAATGCGTATATTAAGACCAAAGTTTGAGTCTTTGGCAGTTACTTCTCCCATGTACCAACTACACTAGTATTCATAAATACAAAGTAAAATATGCAAAAATTTGTAAAAAATAGTTGCTTATAGAAAAATGATCATCCATAAGCTCAATAGTGAAGGCATATAAAAACAGGAGCTTAGGCTTCCTGAACAAATCACATAATTCATAGCTGAGGACTATTGATAGGATTGCATGGTTGTCTTCCATCATTTGCAACTTATTCAACTCTAAAGGTTACAGTTGAAAGCTTATACAACAATGGCACTAGGCCATTCATAATCTGCAAGAATTAAAGAACCAAAAGGCAGAAGACGTAGGCAGCTGCCAAAAAAAATGTTTTTTTTTTTTTTTCTTTTGAGCAATAATTTTCCATTAAACAAAAAAAAAGTACAGAAGGAGTAAAAGTACAAAAACTAAGGAAAAGTGATAATCACCAATACTGATTGAGGTAAACCACCTTTCGCAAGCGAGCCTGCCTCCCTAAAACAATGGCAGAGTTTAACCGAGAGACTAGATAAAAGCACTCCAATCTCATCAAAAATAGAAACCAGTCTCCATGGTGGTCTAGCCTCCCCTCTACTCCAAGCAATAACATTCATTGAATCCCCCTCAATAATTTTACGTCCATCCAATTGAGAAATGAGCTTCCGAACCCCCTAGCTTCTGCCTCATTGGCAGTAATAATACCACAAGGGTCCGGAAAGGAGATAATTAGATTGCCTCTATGATCTCTAGTTAGCCAACCAAATCCAGATGGGCGGATTCCCCAAAGAACTACCATCGAAATTAAGCTAAAGACAATCCACCGGTACCAAAACAATTAAAAAGTTATGCTGCAAAAGAGCCACTGACTGCCCGTTAAATAATTGGCTTGAAAAGAGGGCCTGCCAACCTCATGAATCTGGTAGGTCAAACCATGCTTCCAAGGTTATCCAAGCACATGGATAAAAAATGCACACAAACACCACTTTTTCTTGCAAATGTAACCTAATGTTGCAAACATTTTTGGATAGAAATAGTTTCAATTTTAGGAATGGCCTCAAGGCTAATTGGTCAGGGTGGTGGGGTTCCACAACATGTTGTCTTGAAATCCATTCCTACCATGTGTAGGGGACCCAATCCCCACTAACTACCAAAAAAAAAGAAACAATTTCTGCCTTTGTTAAGGGCAAAGGGTGGTCAAAACATGAAGTCTAGAATTCCATTCCTACAACTGAACTCTGGGGGGAAATGTTTTTATTAAGGGAAATTCGTAAAAACATCTTTCGGATATAAGACTTGCCTGATTCAATTTTACTCGGTTCTGTCCCGAGCCCCTTCGACAATAGAACTATACAAATTGAAGACTCGACCATGTTTCTTATTGGAGGCACATTGACTCTGATATTCTTTTTTTCAAAATTTCTCATCTCCTACAAATGATATTTTCCAGTGTTTATCAGCTTGTAACTCTATTTTAATGGTCTGGAGGTGAATCTCACTAAAATTTTGGATTTTAGTTTTTTCTCATTTTTAGAGTTTCATTGTAGTTTCTATCTCTTTGAAGTTTTTTTGCCCAAGTCAGAGTCCAACTCTTAAGTCAATTCACAAAGGAATTTACTTGAGCCCGATTCAAATCCGAACTTGGACTTGAAAAAAATGTTTATACAGCAAGATATATCTTCACTTTAATGGTAGAGTACCGATTTTATGTAAGGGATATTTCCAGCACTAGAATTGGACCACCTCTTGGCCAAACAATGTTTGGTTTCCATTGGTAACACTATCTACTAGGAGTCTACAACCTAGGAAAACCCCATACACAAACCCAAATGCTTGCACATGCATCTAATCTAGGATATTACAATGAAAGGGGCAGGAAATACGTCACTACATATCAATACATGCTATAACTTCAGTTACAAACACCCCAATTGGAATTAATAATTAGACATTCGAAGATTGCATGTGAAGTATAATTAGTGGAAAGTATTTATACCTAATGGTGACATTTTCTGGAGGATTCAATGTATCAGAAATGTTTGAAAGCCGGTTATCTTGGAAATCCCTGCGAAATTCAAACACAACCAGTTTATTGTAGGAAAGAAACAACAAAATTATTCTTAAAACAGAATGAATGCGAAAAGAAGAGTTAATTGTAAAGGGAAAATGTTGTATCAAGAGCATATCCATATATTTGTGCTATGAAGAAACAAAAGTGAAAGAAGTGGCTATGTGGAATTAAATACAGTAAAATAAAATAAAATTTCTTTTTTTCTTTTATTAATTGATATGAATTTGACTTAAAAGTACCACAATATATTGCTGTAAATAAGAAATGAAACCCTAAATACAACCTATGATCTTTACTTCTACTGCCAATTAAAACAAAGACAATCCAGAAAATGAAATACAAGCTTCCACAAACGATTTTAATACAAATAATGCTCCTAAAAATTAAAATAAATAAGCAAATAATGACTGAGAATAAAAGCAAACAGCTGAGAAGACTAACTCAAATTTGCCTACAGTCATCCCCATGGGACCTAGTGCACCACCCGATTTCCTAGCTGATGGCGCACTCTAATCCTATGGGCCTTGCTGAATTCTTTGAGCCGAGAAGCTTCCTTAGGCCATACCTCACAAACTATGCTTTTTAGGAGAGCATGAGACAACCATGGTATCAAAAGACCCCTTTTAATCCTTTGGGGCATGCCAGTGGCACCTCCCCTTGATCAACTATGGGGCTGGGTTTGCTCCCTTTCTCTCAGTCTTGTAAGGTGGTGCATGCCACCTACATAGAGAATGGAGAGAGGGAGAGCAAGAGAGATGAGAGAGAGTGTGGCATGGATGAGAGAAAAAGTAGAGAGAGCGAGGCTAAAGTTGTATAGAGAACTTTTTGGAGGGGAAAGAGGGGGGGTCCTATCCAATATTGTTACATCAGGACCAATAGGATTTTAGGAAACCTGTGAGGTGAGAGAGAACTAAATCTGAGTCATTCACCCTAAAAATCAACCATCACGATATAGGGAGGAATTGCAAGAACCTTATCCCCCGAATCTTTGACTCATATCCACTTCTAGTCAAAACTCGGATAAGACCAATCTAAACCTTATATTCTAGAACTCTTATATCTCTCAAGATTATAGGAATTCAAAAGATTAAAGGTATGGTAAAAAAATATTTTCAAAATCAACTCCCACAAAATAAGGGTATAATCCTTGTTTTAAATAGATTTCCTTAACTAACTTAAAAACAACCCTTTTTTATTATATTAAAACAAAATAAAAACTAAGAGGGCTAAGAGGGGGTGTGCCACCTCATGTGTGAGGTGTGGACCCCCATGGGCTCCACACCCCACCCATGTGGTGTGGCACATGTGGGGCTGGATCCAAGGGCCCCACACATGCCCTCCACACGACAAAAATTTTAGAAATGCCCTTTTAAGGGTTTTCATGCAGAAATTATTTTTAAAAATTCTGAAATTTTCTAAAAATCGCATAAACAATTATTACACAGAAGAAGTGTACTACTACCAATAGGTCAAGATAAGCGATTGTCGGGGTAGAATTATTACACAGAAGAAGTGTACTATTACCCTCTGAAAACCCATTTCGGTGTGCCATATGCTCAAGGGTAGAGTTTTGGATATGACCAAGGCCATAGACCGCCTAACCCTAGGTTAGTCAACAAAACACACACTTTCATTGAAGTGTATAATCCACTACAATTTATATTTACAAGCTCTCACAGCCTTTAAAGGCCATAAAACCCCAACAAAAATATGTTGGGTAATTCTAAACAATCATCATCGTTGTCAAAACTTTTCCTAACAAATTGGGGTCGGCTACATGAATCATGGTCCGCCATTCCGCTCTTTTAAGGGCCATACCTTCAGTGAAGCCATAAGTCCCCATATCTTTTCTCACTACTTCCAACCACGTCCTTTTGGGCCTACCTTTTACCCTTTTTGAGCCTTCCACTTGAACTAACTCGCACCTCCTAACATGTGTTGTATTGGGTCTGCGCCACACATGGTCAGCCCACCAGAGTCTAGTCTCTCTCATCTTATTGCCTATTGGTGCCACACCGAAATTTTCCTAAATGTATTCATTTCGATTTCTATCCTTCTTGTCTTGCCACTCATTCATCTCGTCTTGCCACTCATCCATCTCAACATCCTCATCTCTTGGGCAATTCTATTGAATGCGGTAGGCAATGCTAATTAGAACATAGCGGATGATTTTGGCTTGCCGTTGAATCTATGGCGTGGGGGGGGGGGGGGGGGGGGGGGTAGGGGGGCTACCCATCTTAATATAGTGAACAGACCACCCACTTCATCCAGCGAAATTCAGCGGAACTTACAATCCAAACTCCATACTCCCCACCACCCAATTAAGTGGTCATTATGCTATTCGCCCAGCTGGTGGGTTGAGTCAAAGTAAAGATCCATTCTGCCGCATAATAAAGATCCAACATCAATGCCAAAGACAACATGCTCCCCAGAAGCACACATAAGTACTTCTTGGTCAATGCCAAGCCCACATTTGCGTGTGCATGATTCACATATCACGTGATCGAGTCTATCAAAAACTCATGTTGGGGGATTTCCTATGCCCCCATAGCTCATTATGGGCACATTAACACAAGCAAGGGTAATCATGGAAACTGACACCCAGATCCCCTTCAATAAACCGAGGTATCCCACTAGTTTCAAAAAAGAGTGAATTACTACAGCCCATACCATATCTTACCATTATAACTAGCATCAGTCTTTCACACAAGCAAATACAGACATGAAACCATATGATGAAATATCATGAATTAGGTTACATCCCAATAACAATTTAAGAACAAGAAAGCCAAATGTCATTAACATCCGATTAACTAGCCCAAGGCAAGTAGAAAGCATAAAATAATTGCCTTCACTGGCCAAACTTTCCTGCTTCTGTACTTCCTGGCCTCCACACAAGGATTATGGACTGAAAAGAAATACACTAGACCACTCGATCCTCTTTCTCTCTCATTCAATTTGCATCCTATTACGAGAAAATTCTTAACCCCATATAACAATTTGTCTCAAATAAAACACCCTTAGAAGATGGATAAAATTATCTATCCTACAGCCCGTTAAAGTCTTGACCATAGTGCATAAAATCTTAAAAGCCACAGAAGAACTAAATAACGAATAAAAAGATCCACAGAAATCTATTTAGCATAAATATACTATAGAAAATCAGTAAGTATGCAACATCGAAAGAATGATTAAGTATTTCAGCATAAGAACTTACAAAATAAGTGTTGCCGTTTTGCTAAATAACATATTCTGCCAAATGGTAGATGGAACTGAACCACTCAACTGATTCCTGGCAAGAGACCTGTAGATGAAATATAGATCAAATTAACGAACATTCTTATGTAGTGATGCAGTATCGGCATACAGCAAGGACACAATGATGCAGTATGTCCATAAGAAAGGCTATCAACATATGCATAACTTGTTCTAAAACTAATGGATATAACATATCTCACCAATAGTATCAACAAAGCTATCAACAAAGAATACTTGAATTATACGTGTTGGAACTACAATTGAGAGAAGGAAAAGTATAAAATAAGATCATCTACTTTTGGTACAAGGATGTCATAATCAACTTTGGTTGTTGGATATGAAATCAGAAAGCCGGGGATGTCACATTGATCAGATTCAAAATCCAAAAGAAATTTTTTAAAACTTTGTGGCGGACCCCAAGCTGTCAGATTTCACATTTAATAATCATATTGAGTGATTGTGACCTCCTACCAAAGGTAAGCTGTCTTATAGTATACTATCCTTAAATGAAATACACATTGAATTAAACTTATTTAAACTGCATTCTCAATGTATGGAGCGCTAAAATATGTAAACAAATTTTCTCATTGATGAAGGTCAAAGAAACTGGAAACGATAAACTCACAATCTTTGCAGATGTGGAAGGCCTGAAAAGATTGCAGGAATGGATCCATTAAGATTGTTGTTTGCCAGGTCACTGCACAAGACAGATCCTCAGAGGAATCGAATGGAAGGAAAAAGAAAAATCATGGAGACCATGAGATGATCATTCACTTAAGATTTATTAGAAGAACCTAGACATACTCAACTTGGACAACAATGAAAGTTGCTCACGTGCATTTTTGAAGAAAATAATAAGAGATGCTCAATTCATGAAATTCATTGAAAGAAAAAAATGTTTGATTAATGCATGGAGTATATGTTTCTCTACGATGAATTAGTAGCTTAAGAATAGAATACAAACATTGTAGTAATGCTTTCAGAAAGTCTCCCCGTTGGTATAGGTCCAGAAAGCCCATTATGACTAAGATCCCTGAAATACAAGGCGACAGGATCAGACAAGTTGATAAGAAATAAAATAAGAGCGTGTACATATAACATGAAAGTGATTGCAGATCATTCAATGAAAGCTTTAGCATTGTATCACAAGCGACTTACAAATAGTCAAGCAAAGATAACCCACTCAAGTCAGGAACTTCTCCTTCCAAGCCGCAGTTCCTTAACCTCCTATAAGGAAACCATACCAATTTCATATAAGGGGATTATAAACACACATGTATTGCAAGTGTGCATTATCTTATTGCAAGTGTGCATTGTCTAAGAGCAGTTCTACATTTTGTCTTAAATTTTAAGCATCCATGACCACAGACAATTAAAAGAAAAGAGGTGCCACTAATAGCATTTATTTAAGAAGTATTTGGTTGCACAGAAAGAGAATGGAATTGGCCGTTGCCAAAAAGGTTGAGTGATGTAGAGGGAAAGAACAAACAGGACAGAAGACAAACAGAGCTTGAACACATAGATCTTAAAATAAATGAAAGCTTACAAGGCAACCTTTCATGGCTACCACTGGTTTAGACCAGGAAGTACAATGGGTATAATTAGGAAAAAAACTATAACTTCTCTCCATCATCCTAACTGTATAGACCAAAACTCTACCAATCTCATGAAGACTCCACGCCAAATTCCCATATACTGGAAACCCACAATTTCCCAAATTGTCCTAGGAAAACAAAATAGAATGCGACTTATTCCCAAACTATTTAACTACATCCTAACTACTCATCGACCAAGGTCAAAGGACAGGTCCAAAACTTCAGAGGGAATTTTGAGAACTTTAGGGTTCGTTTCAAGAATTCCGTAGGGCAAAACTGGCATAGAAGGTGTTTCCTCTATAGAGCTCCTTGAGATCCTTCCAACAAGTGTGTCATGATAACGTTCAGAAGTTGCACAGCTCAATCGCAGGAATTGATCAAAGTAGCTAAACCACCGCAGGAGTAGTATTGCCCATTTGGATATGAGCACAGTTTCACAAACAGACTTGCTCTTGCAGAAGTAAAGGTCAACACTCCATCTAATTGTGTAGATGAATGCAGGAATATCAATAATAGTACTCCGACAGTAGAAAACCAAGCCCTAAGGACTTTGTGCTTATCAGTGCAGAAATGAGAGCAAAGCCGCTCTGATCGTAGAAGGGAACTAGTCAGAATGGCAATGACAAGGTTTGCATTGTCTAACTTGCCGCTCAAACCATTAGTTACGGCAAAGGAACCCTTAAAAGGGAACCTTACTTCAAAAGTAAGGATATATATGAAGATATTCAGAACTACTCATAACCAGTCAGAAATTTCAAGATGATAGTGAGGAACAAAACTGCGCACACACGCGCACACACGCAAAAGAAAACATTTTCGTATAGGCTTACCATCACTTTTTTGAGTTAGGGGCCCAAAAAGCCTCCAACCCATTCTCCTACAAATATAAATTGATTTGGAGCATCAGAGAGGCTCAAGACTCCCCAGATCCACTGTCCATTCAAATGAATGGTCCAAATCTGATTTTGGGCCAGTGTATTAGGAGCACTTTGGAGCTCCTAATCAAATCTTTTTTGGAGGAGACTGTTTTTGGAGTGGAGAAAACTGAACTGGAGCTTTTTTGGGTCCGCCCACCCAATAATAAAGAGGTGGATGAGGTGAAGCACCACTTGTTTTCGGTGTTGCCTAGTCCATGATGCAAGACAGGGTACCTCACATTTTAAAAAAAAAAAAATTTGTTAAATTCTGGTGATGAGCTTTTTGGGATTTTGAGGGTTCAAGTTAAAGGGGTTTTTCTGTTTTTTAGGATTTTAGGGTTGCTTGAAAGAGTAATTGGAGTCCTTACGGAATTTTATCAAGGGCTTTAAGAGAAAGTTCTAATTATATTAGAATTAGAATTCTTGAGGGTTGCGGTTTTAGCTATAAATATAGGATGTTAGAAGTAGAATTGAATATTGTTTGGTTTTAGAGTCCTGGTTTCACCAGAGAACTTGAAGCTTGGCTTCTAAGCTCCCCCTTATTTCAAACAATTCATTAGATCCTTGAATCCTCTTATCCTGTGATTTCTATTCTACCGCATTAAAGTGCAGGTCCATTCCCAAAGAGCCCAATGATACACTGCAAGTTTGAGCAATGACTGCAAGAGGGGGTTGAGGAAACCAAGCTCATGTTGAGAGTGTCGAAGTTACATGGGAAGAATCCAAACGTCTGATGAGGAGGATTGAGGAACTGGCATATGAACTACATAAAAGACTTTCGAATCAAAGGAGCTTCAAGGAAATGAGGCACAAGGTGTATCCAACGCCCTTTGGACATGTTCAGTCGTCTATAAAGATAGCGTTCTCACTCCTATCATAGTGACAAGTTAAGTTCAGTGAATTACTAAGTTACTATTCATGGCACAGGGGGTATTTCTGGACTTTTAAATGTTGTTTAGGAGTTGTGTGGAGTCTTTTAGGTTTGTTTGGAATTTATTAATTAGAAGGGAGAGTTTGATGTTTTATTATTAAAAGTTTGAAGAGGTGTAGAGAGGAGTTTTGTTATATTTTACACTGTATAGAGCATTGTTTAAAACACCAGCCTGCCCAGCACCTAGGCAGTTGCCTAGGCACCCAAGAGGACATAGACCACCTCACCTCGGCCTGGGCAGGCCTTCCTAGTGAGTGCCCAGGAACCTACATAAACAAAGCTTTTTTTTTTTGTTTATGGCCTACGAAACGAAAGGGGATTTTGGGTCATTATGACCTATGAAAGGGGATTTTGGGTCATTTTGACCTATGAAAGGAGATATTCTAACCCCACAAAGTAAAAAAAAAAACTCAACTATGCCTTAGAAACACCCAAAATTGATGGATTTTGAGATTTTCTAGAAAACGAGAAAATTTTGAGCAATTCTTATAATCCATCTAAAACCTTGCCATATATTATTACAACAAATTTTAGGGTTCAAATGAGGTTCTTATAAGACTTTTGGGGTAATTCTAAGCTTGTTAGCCAACTGAAAATTTGAAAATAAAACATCCAAAACATTGAATAATTAAAGTCTCTTTTTTTCATTTGTATGGCATCTTTTGTACAACATCCTTTTGTATTGATCATTTGTTCTCAATGGAGACTTGAAGTCTATGAGTATGACTGTACGAAGTATAGACAACAGAGTGTAGTGCATGGACACTAAATCACTAATGCACTATATACTTGTTTTTTTTTTTTTTTGCTATTTTAATTATTCAAATCTTTCAGTGATTTGAACGTATCAACATTCACGCACATATATTTGTATAAAAACGGTTAGTTAGAATACATATAAATATACAAATATGCACATTTGGTACATATAGAGGCATATACGAGCGTTTGGATAGCACATATATGTATATATGTGTATATTTCAAACCACTGGGTGCCCGCCTAGGCGCTGGTCGCCCAAGAACCCCCTGAGCACCTAGGGACCGCCCAGCATTTTTTTAAGCCTTGATAGAGAGATGTTTATCGATTAGAACATGTCTAGCTTCAATTTTAGTGAATCTATTGAGCTCCAGCCCAATTTTCTGTTGGATCTTGTTCATCTATACTCTATGCTACATCACTTGGATTTATGCCCAATATTTAGGCTGGAGAAGATAGTGATTTTGTGTAGGATTCATCTTAGGCTACTACAAAACATGAAGACGAGTTTTCTCCAACCAAAAGGGCCTGATACATGATAGGATTCATATTAGCTTTTGAGATTTTTACAACTTTTAACTTTTTTTTTAGGATTATAAGGTTTTTAAGTTTTTAGGGGTTCCCACATGTGTATGCAGAGAGAAAGATATATATATATATATATATATATATATATATAGAGAGAGAGAGAGAGAGGCTAGGAAAATATTGAAAATTTATGAAACATCAATATTGCTAGAATGCCATCTCCATAAAATCTAGATTTAAACGATAGGCAATTCTACAAGCATCTGAAAAGGTTAAGAACAGCAAAGTTTAAAAGTTAACACTTTTCATTCATAATTGGAAAAGCAAACAGTAAATAGGATAAAACAAAAGCATAGGATACCTCAGGTATTCTCTAAAAGAAAATGACACTTACAATATAACCAACTTTGACATTTTACTGTAGGAGCTTGGAATGTGACTGCTTGTGAACTTGTTGTTATCAAGCTGACTACAAAATGAAATTAAGTACCAGAATTATTAGACATTTGAACCACAATTGTTTGTGCAATATCATATCCTCATGGCTACTTTTGTAGATCTCTGCCATCTAAAAATTCAATTGCTCAAGTATAATTCATGACACTGGCACCTGCAAATTACAGCTTGACGAGTAGCTTCCAGGGAGAAAAAAAAAGGAAACGATTTATACAGTAAGCTACCAATTACAGTTAATGTGATTCCAATGTGTATGCAACTTTTGTAAACGTACAGAACAAGCAAGTTGGCCAGGTTTGACAATTCTGCTGGAAGAGGTCCTGTTAAATTGTTGTTGTCCAACACACTGCAAACACACAAAACATTCAGAAGAATGAAACTGACACTCATCACGAGATACACTACTGAAATTGCAAGATGAGATAACACAACAGTCCGAAATCTGATAGAATCGAAAATCTCAAGCCCAGACAAAAGCAATAGCAAACACTGCACAAGAGATCAGAACTTACATATGGACCAAACTGGGTAAATAGGAAATTTCCTCTGGAATTTCTCCACTAAGTGAATTATTGTTCATGTGTCTGCAAAGAGTGTACAATTCCAAAAGAAATCAAAAACAAAAAAGTGAACTTCTAGCACAAACTGAAAGGATAAATAAAATTGGAATACAACTCACAAGTGTCCTATTGATTTCAAGTTTCCAAACGACTTTGGAATTGTTCCCGATATTTTGTTCTCGTCAATTTGTAAAACAAACAAGTTTTGAAGATTGCCCATCTCTTCTGGCAAAGAACCTGATAGTTCGTTCCCATTCAAAACCCTGCACAATCAAGGAGGTACACAAAAGGGTGTAATATCTTAACATGCATAATCCACTGGTCTTCCTAATAGAGAAACATCAAACGCACTGAAACACAATTATCAAGGGAAAAAAAAGCAACAAAAAGTCCATGTGCAGAATTTTCACAATCGCAATTGATTTCAAGAAGTAGCAATGCAAATGCTAGCAGCATAATTTCTTGGTCATTTCTACAAAGATTGCTAAGAGCTAGTCAAACAATTATAGAGAAAAGTGGAAGACACGACATGAAATTCACAAATAAAGTTGCACAAGACCGGCTTTAACGATCTAAAAATTGAACATCCCCTTCAATATTCCATCTCTTTTTTTTTCCAAATATCAGATATAAGACTTGGTTACTATTCAGAACTCGCACAAGTCTTAATTGAAAAACCGAGTCTTTATGATACCAACCCATTCCTTCCCCTGTGATTGTTGATGCTTTAAAACTTGGAACTAAGTCTTAAAATGGAGATTTTGAGTGTCCACGGCATCCAGAAAAGAGAAAATCAATAAAGCTGTCAAACAAATTTATTTACAAAGGACTACAGCAAAGTCAGGTCCAAGGAATTGCAATATTTTATGATTACCGCCAAGAAATTATCAAAAACAATAAATGTTAGACAGAATTACTGAATAAGTGCAAACATTATTCTCAGCAGCTTCTTTCCTGTAATACAACACAGAGCCTTTGAGCACGCAATATGTACCTAGTGAAACATAATCCATTCCTATCATATAGGCCTAATCGGGGCGGCCCTTGCCCTGGCCTGGCCAGATGGTACTGCTGAACAAGCCATGTCCTTTCTGTATATTTGACCAGGTCCCAGGCCATGAGCTGTCAGGCCCACACCTAGCACAAGAAACCAGGTCAGATAGTTCAGACCTCGTCCAGCCCTACAGGCCACATATGTCAGGCCAAGTTAGGCTGCACCAGGTCACCCGACCCATTGCCATCTCTACTCTCATGTCAATGTAAACATATAATGAATAAGAAAACGTGAGCTTTGTATATGGAGTTCCCTAAAGCGCTGCCAAATATAGGAGAAAAGATCCATCGTGAAAATAAGGAACATCCCCCAAATGATAATAGCTTCCAGAAAAAGGAAGCTTGGGACTCATGGAAGAAGAGAATCAATGACGCTCAAAGTTGACTGATGCGTGACCTGCCAACAAAAATATTAAAAATAGAAAAGAAGTTGTATATGAACTGTCCACGTGAGATGTGAACTTCAGGGATGGGCAAAAGGATTAGGATAAATTGCAATCCAAATTAATGTTTTCACAGTTTGCAATTTGAATATTTCAATCAGGGACAGATGACAGAGAAAGCCCTTTGACCGCGACAACAAATGAAAGAAACAAAAGGTTGAACATATAAGAAAAAACACGTCAATTTATGATGTTGACAACATATAGAGAATTCTTTAGAAGCTAACAAGTACAAAATATACCGTCCAGGTCAGATTAGAAAGCCTCCAGAACTTAATGTCTGAAATCATTCTCCCACTATCAGGAAACTAACTCAGAGGTTTGAGTTTCTTGCATGCAATATAAAAGCCATCAAAGTTCTTAAACAGGATTGCAGGATTACATATATATATATATATATATTCTATTACCCATCATGGAATCTTAACAACATCTTGCAGTAGGATGGGTGAAGGCTTTACAATCTTATGCACTGTAAGGGTAAGTCAGGCCTTTCTATTTGATTTCGAAGTGGTGGCAAACTCGTAGCCATTAAAGCAGTATCATCATCATCATCATAGACTTTTTTCAGTCATCATAGACTTTTTTCAGTTAATTGGGGTTAGCTACACGAATCCCAATCCGCAATTCTGCTCTATTAAATATCATACCCTCAGTGAGGCCAAAAGTTCCCATATCTTTTCGGACTACTTCCAACCACATCTTTTTGAGCCTACCCCTTGCTCTTTTCAATCCTTCCACTTGAACTAACCCACACCTCCTAACAGGTCTTGTATTGGGTCGGCACCACACATGGCCAGCCCACCTAAGTATATTTTCTCTCATCTTATTGCCTATTGGTACCACACCTAAATTTTTTCGAATTGATTCATTTCGAATTCTATCCCTTCTTGTCTTGCAACTCCTCCATATCAACATCCTCATCTCTGCTACACTCATTCTATAGGTATATTGTTTTTTGTCTGCCTAACATTCCACTCCATATAGCAAAGCTAGTCTTACAACTGTCCTATAGAACTTGCCCTTTAGCTTCATTGGTATGCGGCAATCACATAAAATTCCAGTTGCACATCTCCACTTGTGCGACATCTTCCTCAATCAAAGTAGTATGAGGTGTATAATAATTTCAAACATAAAATTTTAATTGTACTTCTTGGTTGACTACCTCATCAATCCCAGGACTATTTCTCGAGATCTTCTCTGCGGCCAGCTTCCCTTAGAGGCCCACTTCACTTCCTTTTCTTGTAGCTAAAGTACTATGACGAAGAAGGAAACTATTCACACACCTTTTTTCTCAAACAGTGGGGAATGGCAACCCAACTGGCAAATTAGATTACCGCTATAAATTGCTCTCGCTAATAAATTATCAGTGCATATCAAGCATATCAAGAAACCCTATTCTTAAGAAATATATAGCAACAGAAAAGAAAAAGTGAAAAATTAATGAGAAACAGATCATAAAAAGGTGAAAGAACCCAATAAAATGTATTTAGCGCATACAAAGATGGTTTTCACATGAGAAAATATTAGAATTAACAATAGTAAGATATTCAAATTTTTCTTACAGGAATTTCAGAGATTTAGCATTGCCAATCTCCTTTGGTATTGGACCGCTTAGATTGTTCCACATGGCATTACTTGCAAAAAAACAAAAGGACAAAGTTATCACCATCAGGAAAAGTTCAAACACCAGTATAATTAGTAAAGGTAACATAAGATGATTGAAACTTATGTGAATGATCAAAAGAAACAAGTATTTTAGTACATTGGGCCAAACCTCCAAAGCATTAACAATTTTGTGAACCTGATAACCTAGATCACATCCTTGGCAATGTGAACATTTCACTTACAAAGTTTCCATATAAGGTAGTTGACCAATTTCAACTGCCAAGCTACCAGAGAGATCCATATTATGTAGTTGCCTGCAACAGATACATGATAGACAAATTGTCATAAACAAGATTCAAAACAAAAAAAAGAAAACAGTCAACACAACATCAGGCAAAACATAAGATAAGTGATATTTGAATGAAGATTCAATATGCATATTTCTTGTCATGGTCAAGGATATATTGTCTTTCTACTTTCAAAGATCATGTATGTAACCACTTGTAACCTCCCAACGGTAAACTTCACATATATGACGTACCAATTAATGAAAAGGTCTATATGAGTTTGTCAATTGTTTATGGTTGTTCCACTCCCAAGTTTCACATGTATCAATTTCAATTACGCATCACAATACCCTTCGAAACTTACAGCTATCTCGTTGAACCCTCTATTTCGTGACTGACACAGTTTTCTCTCATCCCAGTTTTGCAGCAGAGATCAACAATTAGCTTCAAGAAGGTGTTAGAATTATTGCATCATCCATCTTTTCTATTTTGCCCAATTTTGTTCCTCTTCAGTGTGTAGCAAGGCTGCCTTAGTGACCTTACCACTTACCTACATGATTGAAAACAATACAATTCTCTCGTGCACAACCATTTTATAAAATCGGTATTCTATGCAAAAGGCGCTCAAGCTTTACGATTTTGGCATCTTCAGCCCTGTAAGCATTCTCTACCATCCAACAAAGCCATTGGAACCAAGTATTATCATCTCTTAAGCCTCCATGTATTGGCAGGATAAAAACCATTCTACTAACACCGCAATGTTTAATTTGAAGCCATATCCCATAAGAAATAAAATAGCCGTCTCCTCAACACTATACTTCCTAGTATTCTTTCATATTTTAAGCATCATTTCTAGTTTACCATAATAATGGAAGTACATGTCATAATTCCACCAATTTGATAAATTTTCCATCCACAGACCAATTGAGTGGACAACAACCTATGGAGGAATTTTTTTTCCACTATAGTTTTTTTGCTAATTTATATGGAGAACCGAAATTCCTGTAAATAAAGACAAATTAGCCAAACTTTTATAGAATACCTCTAAATATGAAAAATACATTCACAAAAAAACAAAGTAGTGGCCAGAATTTAACTTTGGACTAAGATTTTTCTACCCAATGTACTAGTATCACTCTCACCC